CGGTTCGCTTCCACCTATCTCGTCCTTCCCCTCCCCCCCTCCCCCGGGAACTCCAGCGTGAATTCGAGGAACTCCAGCGCTCTGCTCAAATGCCTCTCTCGTCCCCGACGCTTTCCCGAGGAGAAGCAGAGGCAGAGCTTTCGCTACATCCCGACGCTCGTAAACCTATCGTACCCGAGTTCGAAGGCGATGTCAATCCGTTGACAGGGGAAGAAGGTGGCCCGAAGAGGGAACCTGTTAAAAGTTGGAATGATGATGGCGGGGACTGGAGCTTCAAGGGTCGAGTCTCTGACTTTTAGGACTCTCTCCATTGGTTAGTTAGAGTTGCTCTATAGGATCCGAACGACCAGTCATTATCCTCACTTTGTTTATTCCTCGTTTTTCGTTGTCTCAACGTTAAAAAGAAATGCGCCGGCGTTTTACGGAAGACGCTGGGCTTACTTATGGCGCAGCGATGATTGGCCAAGTGATAGTGACGACTTGTGGTGATTTATAGATTGACATGTGTCGCTCATTTGAATCACAGCATGTTGTGTATCCTTACATGGATAGATGTAGAGTGGAGGCATCAATATCATAATGCATCGACTTTTTACCCAAGACGTCAAAGTGCTCGTCGCTGCCATCTGTCTGGACCAATCCGCTCAGATTGAAGGTTTAGGGTACGACCAAAGGCATTGCCCGAGAGCAAGAACAGTAATTTGCCAGTTCATTTTATCGTATCTCCAATCTGAACTAAAAAGTGACATGTATACTGAATGGTTAAGATAAGCTGACGACGTGGGGCGCAGTTGTCTCTGTACGTAAATACAGGCCGAGAGGCAAGTACATTGGAACATGCTCACAAAGCTTTTTGAGTGCATTCTACATTTTTGCTACATAACTTGACAATGGTCGCAGGAAGATGTTTATAAAGACATGAGAATACGGCTTTCACCGTCTGATTCCCCGTGCTGCTGGGACGCCACGACCACGACGAGCTAAATAGAGATGCATCAGAACGACATTACAATAGAAACAGAGGTTTGAGATGAACGTACCATTTGCTAATAGGAGGACGACATCGTAAGTGAGATAGTCTGAAGACACTCGAACATTATGAAAAACGTACCGCGCATGATGGTAGCACGTCCACGCGCTGTACCAATACCTCTCCCCCGCATAGCATTTGGGCCCACACGTTTGAACCTGGTGACGATGGGGTCAACTGTCGATCAATTATGGGAGCGGGGGGACGTACATTGGTGCATTCTGCAACATGTCTGGAACGATGAAAAATCTGACCATACTACCCCTAATGTAGACCTGATCTAGCTGAGATACACGCCCATCACGGCCTGTTACTGTGATATCTTTGAGAGAGATGTTGAGATTATCTTCGGCTGGAAACACGAGGGACAATCGCGAAGAGATCAGCCACTGGGAGAAAAGAAAGGGAAAACAGAGAGACCTTCAGCGAGTTTTCCACGGTAAAGCTGGCCTGTTTTTAGTTCTACAGTGATAATGTGGCCGAGAGATTCGTGGAGAAGTTTTACAGGGACGCCGAGTCCTACACTTGCCATTGCGGTTGATGGTGGATGGAGAGCCTGTCTGGTGTTGGTGTTTGTTTGGCTACATGCTTTACTGGATAGGGCTCGATTTGTCGCAAGGTTTTACGGTGGATGATTGGTTACGGCTCAACTTTCGAGCCCGGCCAATGTCCGGCATAATATTTTTCAAAATCCGATGTACCTTCAGCTATTATATTTGTATTTAGCAAAATTCGAGCAAGGCCTTTGATGGGCGATCAACGAAAATACATTTTAATTAATTTCTTTGATCCAGCGAGTGTGATTTGGGCAAAAGCCAGTGTGATGAGAGATCGAGCGAGCGTGCAATTCAACATGTCAACATAGGATTTCAAGCGATACAGTAAGTACATGTCATGTAAAAAAAAATCCCTCTCAGCCACGACACGACTGGACATGATGTCATCTCTTGTGATGTTCTCATCTTTTGTAGCCGACTCTGGTGAAAAAAGAGGTGACATGAGATGTAGTAGAAGGATCCATCAGAAAAAAGAAAAACATACTGCT